ATGGTTTTCTTGTGTATTAATAAATTCAGCACGGTGTAGATGAAGCTTTATTAATGAGCACATTCTGCTGCTGAGAGAGATTTTAACTCCAGTAGATTAAATGTTTTATTAAGTAAAGACTGAATATTTATATTAGGTGGTGTTGTGTGTGAAATATGTGTTTTCATGTGTGTCCTGCAGACGAGCCGACGAAGAAGCCCGTCCCGCTCCACGAGCAGACGGTGAAAGATGAGAAGGGACGATACCAAAGGTTCCACGGAGCGTTCACCGGAGGATTTTCAGCCGGTTACTACAACACGGTTGGCTCAAAAGAAGGTGAGCGAGCAAAGAGCCGAACGTTTGTCCAGGGTGAAATAACGCACTGTGTCCTTCACTCTGACAAATGAGAGACGGTAACAAAAGCTGTTTTCAAACATGAACTCTGGGAAATGTCCAGAAAATTGTGTCCAAATATTTTCAGGAGTTCATCTTTTTGCCCTCGATTCTAAAATACAACAGATTAATTTCCACGGGATTTATTTCTGTTCTTTTTTATGAAGGAGCTGATTTTCATCACTGTTTTATCTTCCAGTTCTTCTTTCAGTCGTTGATGAAAAACACAGATGTTCGTCTTAAATTCACAGATATTCAGTTCAGCCAAACGTTCAAAACAAAAACAAGCTTTAAAAGATAATGTTTGTAAATTGTATTATTTAATATATTTCTGTTGTGACCATTTTATTTGTCAGTGGAGTCTGAAGTTTGTTTGATATTGACTGAAGTGTGTCAAATTTCAGTTTCGGGTTCCAACACGTATTTGAGAATGTTTATGTTCTTCAGGCTGGACCCCGTCAACCTTTGTGTCGTCACGGCAACAGAAAGTTGAGAAACAACATGTCAGGCCCGAGGACTTCATGGACGAGGAGGTGAAACCACCCAGAGACCGAGAACAGATGTTTTTTATAGATTTTACTCTTTAAAACAGATTCGGTTATTATCGGCAGCAAATGAGTAAACAAAAGTTGACGATTGTTTTTGTTGTGCGTCAGGACTTCAGCGAACACGGCATCGCTCCTGCTCAGATCACCACCAGTCAGGAGTTCTCGTCCAGCCACAGAGACAAGGCCAGAGAGAAGGCGAGAGCCGTCAACGCTCAGGCGGCGCTGATCCCTGGAGACACTCTGCTGGAGGAGCTGATCGCACCGGCCAGGTCCGACCTCTTCACCAGAGTCATGTGACCATCACTCACATCACACACACACACACGCCTGAATGTTCCCAACATGTTCCTGCTGCTTCTTCATATGTGAAAGACAAACTCCAGGCACAGTTATAATATATTAATATATTATATTTTACATGTGTACTGCAGTGAATCTGTGTCTGACTATAACGTTGATGTTAAAACCAGAAATGTAAAAAAATAAAGGTCTTTTCATTCAGTGCAGTAAAATCAGTTTCCTGTCCAGAGCGAGTCTCTGAGGTGTGTTTGGTTTGTCTCACAGGTTGTCCATCGGGGTGGAGCTGCTGAGGAAGATGGGATGGAAGGAGGGTCAGGGGGTGGGGCCTCGTGTGAAGAGGAAAGCTCGTCGACAGCAGACGGGTTCGTACCAACGTTCACAGCTGCTCTTCAAGTCGTTCTCCCTCTAAATGTCCTGTGATTTATTTTAAAGGTAAAGTTTAAATGGTGAAGTGACTGAAAGCACCTTGTCTTCTTCTCCTCACAGAAGGTGAAGCCAGGTCTTACGGCTGTGTGCTGCCCCCTGCTGGCTCAGAGGACTCAGAGGTGCGTGACGCTGCCGACAGTTTGTCTGACGACTTTCTAAAAACTCTCCATCATCCTTAGAAAACTTATTTTGAAATCATCTCTTTTTCTGCTGTAACACCTGAGTATTAGCTCCTCCTACTTCTTATCTAACTAATATAACAAAACAGAAACGAGCAGTTATATTAAAACAGGAATTTTGTCTCCCTGACAGGAGGACGAGGACGACTTTGCTCCAGAGAACGTGACCTTTGCCCCAAAGGACGTGACTCCTGTGGACTTCACCCCCCGGCTCGGAGTTCAGGGTCTGGGGTACCGTGGTCTGGACCCGGGTCTGGCACTGCTGGGCCGCGGTGCCCCTGAACACATCAACCTGTTCAAACCTCATTCTGAGACCAGGAGTCAACTGTTCGGAGACGCACAGCGGGGCTCCCGCAGAGGAGGAGTGGCTGGACAGGTGGGACCTTGCTTTTCTTTTCACGTGATAACAGATAAGAGCAGCCACACCAGCTGCCGTTCTGTCGCGGTTCAGCTGCGCTGCTCCTCCGGAGAATCAAGGTCTTGCTGATTATTTTTTCTCTCTGCTGTCACTCTCTCTCTCTGTCTCTCTGTACACACACACACACACTCTCTCCCATACTCACACATGAAAAACCCATCTCCGACAACTCATCAAGGGAGAAACAAAATGCTGATGTACGATGACATCGTATTTATGGCTTTTTCAAGTAAAACGCTGTGTAACAACAAAGCACTGGCAAGAGCAGAACCGAGGCTGAACTGCAGCCGTCGCGAACAACAGAGAACCGCGACACAACCAGTGTGGTCCAGGCATCGAGGCTTTCATTTCAAAGATTGTTCTCATAATCGACATGTTACTGGTGACCTTTGACCTGCAGGCGTTTGGTGTTGGGGCCCTGGAGGATGATGATGAAGACGTGTACCACAGAGACTCCATGTCCCGGTACGACACGGTGCTGGGAGGAGAGGAGCCTGGAGACGGACTGTACGGCTGGACGGCTCCACAGCAGTACACCAAGAAAAGAGGTAACATCACCTGGAGACTTTGTACAACAGCAATAATAATAATGATTATTATTATTATTATGATTCATATCTTTATTTATTGAGAACGTTTCAAAATCCAGATCTCAAAGTGCTTCACACAGCAGCAATGAAACAGAGGAAGCTGCCCCTCGGAAAAACTGCTGGGTTTTTAAATTGATCTACGTCTCACACTCATGATGACATCATGGCGTTGAGTTATGTGCAGTGTTGATACTGTTTGGTGGCAAGAAGCGAGAGAAGAGCAGGGGGAAAAATTATGGAATTTATTGTCGTTCATTTTGGATCAGTATGTTTGAAATGAATGAAAAGAGGAGCTGATGTGTTTTCTGAACGCTCGAGCATGAAACCTTTTCAAGTAATAACAGAAATTAGAATGATCAACCTGGATATGAGCAGAATGTGTCTCCTTATCTCCTTGTCTCCTTTTCCTCTCGTTCATAGATAAAAACAAAGATGCGTCATATCTTGGAAAAATCCTGGAGGGATTCACTTTGGCTCAAAAACCTCATGAGGAGAAAACGGTGAGTGTCGATGATCTGTCATCTGTTTAAAAATAAATAAATAAAAACACTGACATCTCCAGTCTCTCTGCAGATCTTCCCTCCCCCCACTCTGCCCCGTGACTACAGACCCGTCCATCGCTTCCATCCGTCCGTCCACGTCACTCGTCTCTCTGGGGTCAGTCCTGCGCTGGCCGAGGCTTTGAGGACCTCCAGGGGCCACATGGTTAAAGAGGAGCCCCAACAAGCAGGACGGCACCAGATGGACTCCAGCCAGAGGGGGGCGCTGCTGGGAGAGGATGCCCTGCAAGGTAGGAGAAGATTCAGCCATCATTTGACCTGTTAATGTCCCAGAGAGTCCAGAAAACCAAAGTCACAGTTTCACTTGTTTACAATGATCAAAACCTACATTTGTGGTCGTCACTAGATGATTTAAAACATGTTAATTATTACATTTGATTTCTATAAATGTCTTGTTTTAGTTGATCAAATGTACAAAACTCAAAGTTACAGCAGGTCGTATATTACTCAAATTATTATTCAATCGTCAATAAGCAATAAACAGAATCATTTCCTGTCGATCATCGACTTGTTCTGATAAATCTGAATAATGACCACAGATTTTTTATTCCAGGTTTGGTGAAGATGAGATGATTTAATGTCGATGATGTGTTTGTTCTTTTCTTCGTGAATCAGGTCCCAGTTCAGTGATGGAGCTGCTGAGGCCTGAAGACAGAGAGCGACTCCTCAACCTCCGCAACTCCTCCAACACGCCCTCCGCCAATGCTACCGCCAACGACTCCCGTCGTGCCGTCAGCTCAGGTGGGTTGATGGTGGGGTCATTGGCGGGGCTTTCAGCTCAGAGCAGCGCAGCCTCCTCCTCCTCCTCCCCCGGCCTCCAGCAGCAGCAGGAGGCTCTGGCGTCGTGGCGAGGTGTCCAGTCGTCGTCACAGACCTTCAGACCGTTTGACAACAATCCCAGCAAACAGGCACGTTACGAGCTGTACCTGAACTGCCTCAGACAGGGAGACAAAGGTAGGAGCATCTGTCCCACATCTCCCATCATGCACTGCAGGCAGCCTAACCCTTGAATCAAAGGTGAACCTGGTTTGTGTCTCAGACGCTCTGGAGCAGAGTATGGACTCGGGTATGACAGAGTGGGAGCGCAGCAGGGAGAGGGAGGAGTTTGTCCGATCCTCCATCTTGTACAGACCCATGTCCTCGTCGCTCTCGTCCCGCTTCGCCAGAGCCAAAGACGAGGAGAACGACGACACGGTGGAGGTCAGCCGGGACGAGGAGGTACGACCACGACCTCCAGAAACAATCTGAGTTTAATTTCTGCTGAAGTATCGAGATAATAAACATGTTTTTTTTTTGGTCGTCAGGGCGACGTGGACGACAAACAAGCTGCTGTCAAGATGAAGATGTTTGGAAAACTGACCAGGGAAACGTTTGAGTGGCACCCGGACAAGCTGCTCTGCAAGAGGTTCAACGTCCCCGACCCGTACCCCGGGTACGACATGAGACTCCTCCTCCCGAAAACTGTGATGTCATTTCCACAAAATCTCTGAATGAGCGTCTGTCTGTGATTGGTCCTGCAGGTCTGGCATGTCGGGTCTGCCGAAGGTCAAGAGAGACAAGTTTTCTGTCTTCAACTTCCTGACTGTGACGGAGAGCAGAGAGACCACAGGTAGCTTCCCTCACCTGCAGCTGTCTGCAGACAGGGGGCGCTCTGTCATTTAAGAGCAGAGTGTTTCCTCATTTCAATATTCTGACAAATGAAAAGTTTTTTATTTCTCTGCTGCAGTGACACCTAGTGGCCGGAGGCATAATGTTTTTTGATTGTGGACCTGTCTCATGATTGTGGACACAGTTTCTCCAGAACGTCTCGAGGGAATCCTTTCGAATTCGGCACAAACGATTTTGGCTAAACGTTAAAGTCACAAGACAAGTTTCGGCCTCATGGGAGTTTCCTTTCTTCTGTCTTCTTGACATCGGATGAACTGATTGGATTTCAAACTGCACTGATTGGTGGAGACAAACAACCACAGAGCCGTTCATCACTTTTTTATTTTTCTCTGCAAATTTTTATTTACCGTTTAATCGCGTCGTCATTGTCAAAGATCCATTTTCAGTTCCGTGTTATCTCTGTAACATTTTGTTGTTGTTCTTATTCTCTCTGTGTGATGTCACTTCCTCACTGCAGCTCCTCCAAAGTCTCCAGAGACGAAGAAGAAGTCGAGGTGGGATGTTTCAAACCAGAAGAAGAAGAAGAAGGAGGAAGAAGAAAAGAATGAGCCCCAAAACCAACCAGAGACCAAACCTGTTCAAACCTCAGCACCTGCTTTACCTGCCTGCGGCCACAGCAACGACCAGACTGAAGACGCCACTGAGGTAGTTATCTGTCGAGTCTGAGGCGCTGGGGTTTGTCGTCCAGGAGCTGATCAGAACAACAAACTTTTTAACTCACCTGTGTTCTCCTCAAACAGTCGGAGGATCAGCAGAGCTCAGACAAGAAGAAGGAAGGTGATGAAGAGGAGGAAGAGGAGGAGAGCAGACCTCCTATGGATCTGTTTAAGGCCATCTTCGCCAGCTCGTCTGATGAGAAGTCATCGTCATCGGAGGGAGAGAGTGATGAGGAGGAGGACACGAAAGGGGAAGAGGGAAAAATCAACACACAGCCTCTGAACCTCTTTAACATCTCAAATGTCAAGTCCTCCATCACGTCCTCCTCCACCTCTGTTACCTCTGCCACCACCTCCAGCAGCCAGACAGGTGACCTCAGATTCTTCTCCTCACAGACTCTACAGCTGTTTTCAGACCTGAACTGAAGTCCCGACATGTTCCCGACATGTTCCCGACATGTTCCCGACATGTTCCAGACATGTTCCCGACATGTTCCTGACATGTTCCTGACATGTTCTGGAGGCTCTGTACGCGAGAACACAAATGTTTGTTTGCTCTGGACAAATGAAGATTCTGTCACGTTATTGTCAACATGTGTAACTCAGGTTTCTCCTCTGTGTTTTATTGAAAGCCGTGGTTTTGAGTCAGAGCTCGTCACAGGAGGAGTTTGGCCCGAAGCTGCCGCCTCCATCAGCTGCTCTCAGTGAGTGTTGGAAAACTTGACTTTATTCATCTTTTTTCTTCATGTCAACAGTGTGTTAAAAGTGTGTTAATGTTTGTGGAGACTTCACCCGAGTTACTTGTTGTTTCGTGTTCAGTCAGAGGAGGCGCCACCTCGATCCGCTCCCTCAAAGAAGAAGAGAAACCTCGGAGGACGAACAAAGAGAAGAAACACAAGAACAAGAAGCAGCACAAAGACAAGAAGGTGGAAAATAAGAAAAAAGACAAAGAGCAACAATGGACAGAACAATACTTAACTCACAGTGTGAAACTTTGTTTTTCAGAAGAAGAAACACAAGAAGCACAAACACAAAGCGAAGCAGCAGAAGAAGAGTAAGAAGAAGGAGGAGTCGGACAGCAGCGACGACAACAGAGAAGAGGACAGTGACGGACAGGTGTCGACAGAGGAGCTGCTGAAAAGGTCAGAGGTCAAACAGACACTGATTTTATTAACAGTCAGAGCCATGTTACTTTGCTGTATTTACTTTTATTTATTTGTGTGTGTGTGTGTGTGTGTGTGTGTGGTTACAGACTGAAGTCACATCAGACGAGGTGAAGCAGAACGTTTGTCCTCTGTGAGGACGACCAGCTCCTGTCTCCTTCTGCACTCGCTTCATTTTATTCCTATTTGAAATAATAAAATGTAACTTTTTCTGCCGATACATTTTGTCTTCGCTCTTTATTTTTGTTGTTGCTGTTTGTCGTTCAGCATCGAGATCGTAGGGAGGAGGGGAGACAAAGGGAGGAATTAAAAGAGGAGGGAGAGGATTCACATTCTGTTTCAAAAGCTCACCTGAGCTGGGTGAAGACCTGCCCCTCCTACCCTGCCTCTGATTGGCTATAAGGCTTTAGCCTCAAGTGTAAAAAGTGATGATTGGACAAGGTGAGAGTAAGGATTTCAGGATGAGCCAATCAGAGGCAGGATAGGAAAAAACACTAATAGCGAAAAACGAATGAACTATTTAGTTTATTTAAAACTAAATAGTCTAAAAACTGACCTTTAAGTGTAATATTCAATCGTTAAATAAACTATAAAGTGAGTGTTTGCAAATATGAAGTTTTTTCTGCAGGATGTGGAAAATATTCAATAATAATTCAAACAGGTGACGAAACACAAGGTTTATCTATTCAAGTCGACGTCTTCGTCTTCTACGTGTCTCCTCCTCTTCATCCTCAGATATTTGTGTTCTTCCAGTTTCACAGGTTATAATTTTAAAGCTTTAAAAAACTATTCTCTTATAAATTCTCCTCAAATAATCATTAATCTGAGCAGATTTAGTTAAACAAGATTGTTAAATATTTAAAACCCAGACACTTACATCTGTCCAACATTCATCCAGCCTGTGCTCGACAGTTCATCTGTTACTGTTCTTTAGTGTAAATCTTTCAACCTTCAGTTCACAGCAGGAACTGAAGTGACCACTTGTTTCTACTCGGCACCGTGTGTGAGCAGCTGTTGTCGTATTTATTCTCACACACACACACACACACACACAGATACAGTTTGTTATTGTTTGTTAACATTTTAATGTTTGTTTCATCTTGGGAGAAAAGATATTAATTTATATTATTAACAGCTATTTTATTCTCTGTTCTTGTTGAAAGAGTGAACATGAAAATGTTCCTTCATAAAGACAAATAGGAGGAGAAATAGTGTCTGTCCTTCTGTCCGTCCTTCTGTCTGTCCTTCTGTCCGTCCTTCTGTCCGTCCTTCTGTCTGTCNCTGTGACCACATCTCAAAATACAAAGAATACCATGTTATCAATGATCTTTATGGGTGGTACTTTTCATGAAAACTACAAAAGCAAAAGTCCAGCTCCATTCATTCAGCAGACACTGGTTTAATCTGTCTTCACTTGCCGCCTATTTATGATTCGTTCAGATGATCCAGTAGGACCAGTTGAGATGGAGACAAAGATGCTTCAGACTGTTTCAGTGCAGAATTTGCTTTGAATTTTCTGTCATGTAAAATCTTCATTCTTGTTTTCTTTAAGTGTTTTACAACAGTCAACAGTGGAGAAAAGGTTGCTGCATTGGTGCTAGGTTTAAATATGAGTTGTTTTGGTTGATCTAGATAGGACTAATAGATAAGTAAACATGTCACTATCTACCACCATCTATGAATTGTACATGGTCATGTTGAATTATGCTGTTACATTGGTTTCACTTTGTAGATGTAATACTTTTACTTAGTTTATTACTTTATCAAACTGAAATAATGATAAAGGTACCCGAATGTTATTTTATTTCTCTTTGATAGTTTGATAGGTTTTTCTATCAGGGGTATTTGTACAAATCAACAAAGCCCTTTATGAATAATAAAGGATAATAAAGGGAGCTTCCTCATTTCAAGGATGARTTTGTATTTCTCAATCTGGATGTTCGGAAATTATCACAACCAGAGCATCAATTGTTTTAAAGTCAATCTGCTCAACTGCCTAGTAGAGCATTGATTAGTCAAATTAGTGGCTGGGGCATCAGCACATGGGCCCAGCAGAATATCTACACACTCATATTTGCAGCAACAGTGCCTCCATCGCCAAGGGCTCCTGACAGATGTGGYGTGAATTCATTTTTTGCAATTGTAAATTCTGTGACTTCTTCAGAGTTTACACATTAGATCCACATTTTATACTTCTCTGTAACCCTTAAGGTGTTTTCTAACCACACCAGATAAAATAATGGAGATATCATACTCAGAGGAGACATAGCACAGCTTTTAGTGTTCTTTTTGCCAAAAGAGAAAATTAGATCATCTGGGACTTTAAGCCGAAATCACCCTGCTTTATGCAGTTTTTAAAAAGCATTATGKAAAACGGACAGAAAGCTGAATAKGATAACARAGAAATGTCATTAATATTAACTCATAGGTTTTTCTTTTTAAGAATCATCTTAAATAAAGAAACTATGATGTAGCGGGCGCACAGCTCTTCCAGGATGCGGTGCACGCGGGCCACACAGCCGAGAGGTTTGCGGTAGCTATGGTGCAGACGACGGACGTTCATTTCACGCTCGGAGCGAATCTCGAGGGACTGAGCCCGAGTTTCGGGAGTAAAGCGGACTTCTTCCCCAGAGGACCCGGACTCATTCGCATTGAGAGAGACGAGCGACCCGCGGAGGCACAACGATCACATGGTCAACAGCTGAGACGCTGAAGCAACTGGCAGCAATACTGACGCAGCAGCGGAGCGATCCAAGGGAGTGATGGGGCATTTCTCTCTGCTTATATAGACTGCCTAATAAGGTGGGTGTGTGTTATAGATGATTGTGGAGAGCGAGGTATGTCACATGATGTACATCACGTGATTGGAGCAGCTCAGCTCAAATTGGCTGCCTGAACTAGCTCGCAGGCGTCGCTCCATTTTTGGTTCCAAGCAGTGTTTGATTTTGTGTATCAT